CTTACCATTTTCCTCAAATTTTACGTCCAATGGATACCAAAAAGAGAGAGTCAATTTTTTATTGTCAAAACTCTATTTCTAGCCGTTTTAGAGCTATTGGGTCTAAAATATGATTCCCAACTTCTCTGACGTGGCAGGGATTTTTTTTTATCCCAATTTTCCTGAAAACCCTCAGCGAACCAAACACCTGAAATAGAAATACTTGGAAATTAACAACTGACATGGAGATGGTGTTAGGACTTGGAAATTACATTTCTATAATTTTTTTAACGAAACAGACAGGCCCTTGAGAGCCTTCTCGTGGGGAAGTCTTTTTCCTCAAGTGTATTGTTCCCCCCTTTTTTTTTTAAGTACTACTTCTGACTTATAAGAGCTATTCAGACTTTAAAACTCGACATTTTGAATGTTATCTGAGGAAAATCACAGGGAGCTCCTCTGTAATCTCATCCACTAAATGATAAAGAATTATGTTGCATTCTAGCAAACTTTATTTGAAAAGTTAGGAGTCTTAAGGACTTTATTATAAATGTATGAAACTTTAGTTGATTGTATGAGATCTAATATAGCGGGCACATACTTGACTTGTTCTATGATGTTGTGAATAACAACTTTAGAGTCTCCCTTCACCTCGAGTTTTTCTTCAGATAATATAGAATAAAGGGTTTTCCATATATACCCCTCAAATCTTCTAGATTTGTAAAATTAGCCCCAATTCTCATTGATCTTTTTACACCCATTTCACTTGCCAATCTTAAATTTTAAACAGAAAATTGTTGCAAATCTATTGGAAACTACAGGAATTTTGAAATTGATCATATACTCCCTTTAAAAGCACAAGTTCGGAAAATCTTTTTTAGACAAATATACCCCTTTATAGTTTGAACTACCTTATCTATAATCAAATTCTAATTTTCAATGGTCAATATTACCCTTCATTATTTTGAATATTTTATTTATATCTTAATCTATCCTAATCATAATCATATCTTATCCTAATCCTATGTGAACCATGTTTAGCTTAACAATTTAAAAAACTAATATTAATAAAATATATAAAACATAAAAATGATATTAGTTTGTTAAGATAAAGAAATTACAAGTAGATAACATATTATAATACATGAAGTATTGCAAAAAAACCATAAAAAGTTTTAAAATTGCAGAAAAGACCCTGAAAAGTTTAAAATTATAAAAATCATCCCAATGTCTCAAAACTTAAAATAAAAAACATGAAATTAAAAAATTAACATCAGTTTGCAAAGAATTTAAAATTTACAGTTAACACCTCAATGTCTCAAAAATTATAAAAACACCCTCAAAAGTTTAAATTACAGACAAGCACATTAAAATTCTAAAATTTTAAAACTTACAAACAACACAGATGAATTCAACAGATTACCATGATACACCTAAATTTTTTGACATTTAAATTTAAAATTTTTAATTAACACCCTTAATATCTTAAAAATTATAGAAACACCTTTAAAAGTTCAAATTATAAAAAGCCACCCTAAAATTCTAAAATTTGTAAATAACATAAGATGAATTCAAGATATTACCCTTAGACACCTAAAAAATTAAAATTTGCCGAAATTAACCTCAAATTTTTTTTAAAACTCCTTCAAAATTTAAAAATCATAAAAAAACTCTAAATTTTTAAAAATTTTAACTAGCACAAATCAAATTCGTCGATTGGTAGACCGCTAAAATTTAATATTTTTCAGTCTTAATCTATAGTTTTAATAATTGTAAAAGATACCTTCAAAATTTTAGAGTTATAAGAAATATACTAACATTTAAAAAATTACCACCAACACATGAAACATAGAATTTACAACTACCAAACTTAAAAGTAAATTTTTTAAAAAAATCTTTCAAAATTTTAAAAATTACAAATCACACCCTCAAAGTTCAAAACCACAAAAATGGGCTAAAATTTTAAAACTTGGCAAAGAAAAGTGTAATTGTTTGGTATTTTTCATATATATATATATATTAAAATTTCTAATTTAGGGATTTACTATCCATTTTCAGCATCTAAGAATAGTCTAAGTTGATACTGGTAAACAAAAACAATAAGAATTGATTAAAAACATCCGGTTAATGGATAATTTTTTTAAAAATATTATAGATTAAAAATTATCGGCACTATATAAATTAAAGTAATTTCATATAATTTTAGTAATAAGTTGGGGTAGCCAAAATACATTCGTAACATTAATTGATAGATGTTTAAATCCATAGAAATGATAAAACACTATAATATTATATCTTAGCATTAATTGATTTTAACTTAGAAACTTTAATCTTTAACGTTAATAATATTTATAGGGTAAAAGAATACAAAGAATTACATATGAAGAAACTATTAGAATATTTAGAGATAACTTTAAAAGAATTGAGTTATTTCCATTACAAATGGAAAAGTGATGGAAATAAATCTAAAATTCAGAAAACGTCAATGAACCACTTGAATTGTCATTAACATAAGACATATCTATTAATGAAGCACTGAATGAGTTACATTAAAAAATAATTTAATAACTTTATCCTAATCAAAGAAAAAATCTCCATGGAAGACATAAGAAAAATTAGTAAGTATTCATAAATTCCATACTGTGTTCTTCAAATTAAATATTAATATTATAATCTAAGAGAAATTAGTAATGAATAATGCATGTATTTATTTTAGATCTTTATGGAAAATGATAGGGATAGAGCAAATGTAATATTATTAAAATAACAGAAATTCTTATTGGATGCACATCAGAAGAATTCATTTTAGAGGAAAATAAAGAGATAGCTTCTAATTTATTTAAGTAATAAATTAGGAACATAAAGAATTTTATATATATGAAATTAATATTTATTCTCATTGAAATAGAAAAAAAAATCAAAGTCTATATTTTGAGCAGTTTGTGTTGAACATCATAAGTACATTTGACTTCTTTTTTTTGGTAAATGAATGTAAAATTTTATTCATCACCAAGTATAGGAAAGTTTGTACATATCAAAGATACAAAAAAAATCAAAAACTGATTCTGAAGAACCAGTCTAACTCTATGACAGTTTATCTATGAACTGAAAAATATGTTGTGGAAGCCTATCATTTAGAACTTTTTTATACACACTGAGTTTGATTGAATGAAAAATTGACTCGGGGGACCTTAATGCTCTTTGTTGCTGAAAAATCCTGTAGTTCCTCTCTTGCCATAGAACATATACTGACACTGAAAGAGCAATTCTCTTCAATTTCTTTTTGTAGCTTTTTCCTCTCAAATTTCGATTGAACCAGTTCATCAATAGATCCCAAGAGCATGATCTCCAGTTGAACTTCAACCAGTCCATCACTTTATTCCATACATTTGCTGAATATTGGCACTCAAAAAATAGGTGCTGGCATGATTCTGATTGAACTGAACAGAATACACATTGGCTTGAACTAAGTAATCTCATGTTACACAACCTGTCTTGTGTGAGAAGTCTAGAGAGAGATGCAAGCCATAGTATGAAAGAATGCTTAGGGTAATGCCAACCCCCCCAAATTGTGTCAGATCCTTCAAAAGAGCTATGTTGCTGGAAAATAGTCCTGTAAATAGAAGAGATACTGACTGTTCCATGAATGCAGCAGCTGATAATTGCATTTATCAGATTATCTACACTTCCAGTTTTATTCTTCAGTATATCTCTAACTTTTAAAAGTTGCCTCCATGTCCAAGAATCACTTGCTTTTGCCTTCACCTGCCAAATATCATTTTGTCTTAAATAGTGTCCATGTATCCATCTAATCCACAGGATATCCTTTTTAAGATGTATCATCCACAACATTTTAGCAACTGTTGAATAATTCCAGAGTTTAGCAGAAAAAAGACCCAGACCCCCCTGCTTGAATTCTTGACAGACAGAGTTCCAGGAGACTAAATGGATTTTATGCTCCCATAAAAAATCAGAGCATAACCTGTCAATTCTCTCCAGCACTTTAATTGGTAGGATATAATTGCTAGTCCAGAAAATTTGTATACCCATAATGACAGATTTAATTAACTGCAATCTCCCAGCATATGACAGGATTTTTATCTTTTGCCAGTTTTGAATTTGAGCAACAATTTTGCTAATGAGAGGATTGCAATCAAGCCAAGAGAGCCTTTTTGAAATCAGTGGCATACCCAGGTATCTCATGGGTAAAATACCCTCAGAGAATTCAAGAAGAGCACAAATCTGTTGCTTCAAGTTTTCATCAACCCCAGACATGAAGATAGAGCATTTGGAGGGATTAGGTTCAAGCCCCGAAACTAGACTGAACTCCTTAAGACACTCCCATAATTTTGATATAGAGTACACTTCAGCTTTGCAGAACAGAAGGAGGTCATCCGCAAAAATGAGGTGAGTCAAATTCAGATTTGAACATTTTGGGTGAAACTTAAATAGTCTGTCCCCCTTGAGAAAGTTTAGCCTTCTTGACAAATATTCCATGCCAATAACAAACAAATATGGTGATATTGGATCTCCTTGTCTAAGCCCTCTAGCACCTTGAAAGTAATCATGAAGAGAACCATTGATAGAAATGGAGAATTTGGGAGTGGTAATGCATTCCATGATCCAACTGATCATGTTTTCTGGAAACCCCAGGCCTATCAGCATATCTCTGATAAAATCCCAACTGATTGTATCGAAAGCTTTCCTCAAATCTATATTTAACATTGCTCTGGGGGAAGTTTGTTTCCTGCCATAGTGCTTAACCAATTCATGAGCCAAGAGGATATTACTAGATATAAGCCTACCCTTTATGAAGGCACTTTGGGCATCACTAATTAGAGAACCCATAACTTTTTGGATCCTAGTAGCAATGACTTTAGAGATGATTTTATAAATACAATTACAGCAGGATATAGGTCTGTAGTCAGAAGCAGATAGAGGATTAAGGATCTTAGGAATAAGAGAAATAGAGGTGGCATTGAACGTACCCAGAAGTCTTCTTGAATTGAAAAATTCTTCAACAGCTAGAAATAAATCATCACTGATAATACCCCATGTGGCTTTGAAGAAAAAAGCATTATATCCATCAGGACCTGGGCTTTTATCATTAGGCATAGAAAAATAGCCTTCTTGATCTCTTCTCTAGTAACTGGCAGACTTAGCATTAGCTTCTGATCAGTTGAGAGTAGAGGACCATTTGCAATAATCTCAGGATTAGGAGGTAGAGTAGGTACAGAATAACCAAGTAGATTTTTGAAATAACCAGTTATTTCAGCAATCACCAGATGTTTATCAGAGATTCTGACCCCCTCTTCTGTTTGGAGAGATAGAATTTTATTGGCATGCCTTCTCTTTTTCATGGCAGAATGGAACAACTTTGACCCCTTGTCACCTTGGATACACCAGTTAATGTTTGCTTTTTGTTTAAAGAAGGAATATTCACAATCCAGCAGACTTTCATATTTCTTAATGCATTCTTTTTCTTTAGCAATCAGGACAGAACTGAAAGGGTTATTGCTAAGTTGCCTCTGAGTGTCCTCAAGCTCATCCTTAGCTCTGCAAACCTGCACACTAATGTTCATAAAATGCTTTTTATTCAGATTTTTCAGAGCAGTCTTCAGCTTCCTGAGCTTTGTGTGGAACTGAAACATTTTATAACCTTCAATATTTTGCTCCCAAACAGCTTTAACTGTTGAAAGATAATCAGGGTGCTTCACCCACATATTAAAGAATTTGAAAGGTTTAATACCCTCCTCCCTGTCATTTTCAGCAATGGAAATTAAAGCAGGAGAATGATCAGAGCATTTTGGCAGGAGATATTCTACTTGACTGGAAGTGTAAAGATGCAACCAATCTTCATTTATTAGGCACCTGTCAAGTCTGGACCGAATCCTACTATCTGCATCTTGCTTATTTGACCAAGTGAAGAAGAAGCCTGTGGTATTCAAGTTTATCAATTGGCCATTATTTAAGAAGCTTTGAAAATCTTCTGTATCTGTTTCTAATACAGGGAGCCCTCCAATTTTCTCTTCATAACTTGCAATTGTATTAAAGTCACCACCAATAATCCAAGGGCCAGAAACATTATGCTTATATTCTAGCAATTTCCTCCAGAGAATCCTCCTGTTAGGCATTTGGTTGAGAGCATAAACAAAAGTGCATATACTGGAAAATTTCCCATCTCTTGATTCCACAGACAAAGTGATATATTGTTCTGAAAGAATGGCATTATGTATAATCAAGGAATCATTATCCCAAAGGATCCAAATTCTGCAGTTTCTAGCTTCATGCACATTAGATATCCAATGCCAGCCATTTGCAATTTTTCTTGCTAGCACAGGGAGCTTATTTTCAGGGATTTTTGTTTCCAAGAGAGCTATTAAAGAAAGTTTATGCTCTTGAATAAAGTGCTTAACTATAGAATGCTTAGAGGATTTATTAAAACCTCTGATATTCCAGATAGCAAAATGCATGTTATAATGATTTCCCTCCTCTATCTACACAAGAGGAGTTGAGAGCCAGCTGTTCTAGTATAGAGAACTGAGAGGGTTGAATATCTGCAGGAGCAGCTCCAGGCATAAAGTCTCTTTTGGTTGAATTAGCTTTCTTAACACTAGAAAATCCAGATGCATTAATAATTGGAAAAGAGAAGCTAGCTTGCTGTAAATGAGCATATTTGCTTGCAGTAGGAGAAGAGATGTTAGTCTGCTGAAATCCAGACTGAGTCTGTGCATGTTTTACAGCTTGTGCATGTTTTTCCATGTCTATATCTTTCAGACTTGATGAACTTTCAATCTCAAGGCTAGCTTGACCAGACTGAGACTGTGCATGTTTTCCAGTAGCCTGTGCATGTTTTTCTATATCCAAATTTAGCAGGCTTGATGTTCCAGGTAAACTACTTTCATTTTCAAGATTTTCCTTCTGTTGTTCATTTCTTGAAACATCTTCAGTAGCTTTTCTAGCTTGATTAACAACAGGAACCCACATTTTCTTCAACTTTCTGTTTCTACACTGCTCAGTATCATGGCCAATTTTGCAACATGAGGAACACCATTTAGGTTTAAATTCATATGTCACAGATTGCTTAAAGCTCTTTCCATCAGGACCTTGGATTGTTAGAAAATCAGGTAGAGGATCTTCCAAAGGTAATTTAATATCAAGAAGCACTCTAGCATAACTCAATCTCTGTCTGGTGGCAGTAAGCATATCAGTTGCAATAGGCTTTCCAATGAGGCTTGCAATTTTACTAATTCCAGTAGAACTCCATAGGTTTAACCTCAGATTGGGAAACTGCACCCAGATAGGGTAAGATTGCTCTTGCATCTTATCTATGTCTGTGTCTATGCTCCAAGGTTTCAGGATCAGAGGTCTGGAGCCAAAGAACCAAGGGCCAGCCTCAAGAATTTCTCTCATTTGATTCTCAGTTTGAAAGTCAAATAGAAACAAGCCTTGTTTGATTAAGGAAACCTTAGGAATAGAAATTTTTCCCCAAAGTTTATTTACATAAGCTTCCATAGCTTTGAATTTTACATTTAAGCCAATGATATGACCGATTAAGGCATTTTTCCAAATAACTTCTCCCTCCTTCCATTCATCATTGGAAAATAAAACTGTATTATGTTGTGATGAAGGTAAGAACTTTAGAGGCATTCCATTTCCTGATTTCCTGTTATCAGAGAAGAGACTAACAAAAGATTTTGGTACTTTAACCTCATTAGAATTGTCAGTCCTTTTAGTCTGATCACTAACATCCTCATTAGTAAAATCAGGTCTTAAAGGATTTTCCTCATTTGGCACATGATTAACCTCAACAAATTTCTTCAATGAAACAGTATTCATATCAGAAAATTTTTCAGGAATCTTTGAAGATAATTCAAGAACATTTGCAGATTTCGAAGAAGAGCTCTGAAGAGTAGGAAAATCTGAAGAAATTACCTCAATATCAACCTCCTCCGCCCAAGAAATCCTACGAGAGTCACTATCTCCACAAGAATTGAGTTGACGAGATTGAATTCCATTCACACGAGGAGAGACCAAAGGATTAACAAGGAAATCTGAGGAATTGAGAATTTCCTCCATTGTTTTCTTCTTCCTTTCCCCTTTTGGACCAGTAGATCCCATTATACAATTGCCTTCATCATCTTCCTCAAAGAAACTATCAATATGATCATCAGAATCTAGGAGATTAGAGCTTGAGGATCTCAGACCGATGTTTAGAATCTTTTTTCCGCTAGCTTTCTTCTTCCTCGCCATGAATTTCCAGGCAGGGGCGCAAGATAGTCACCAGATCGCCAGACTATCGTACGCCTTCAGACATCCCGCCAGATTTCCAGGCAGGGGCGCAAGATAGTCACCAGATCGCCAGACTATCGTACGCCTTCAGACATCCCGCCAAAAATTTAGAAGATCAGACTACATTTGACTTCTTTGTAGAGTTAAATGAGATGATAAAAAATTAATGAGCCCAGGAAAGATAATAGCATAAAAAAAATACAAAATTAGCCTGATATCACAATTGATGTAGATGATGAAGACAATGCTCTAGAATTACCCGAGAAATGATAAATGATAAACCTGAAGAAGGATTGATCTTAACTCAATAAAAAATAAAATAGAAGAAATAAAAAACAATATTTTCTGAATATTTTATAGGATAGTTTAATTATTTTGAGTGAAATTAGGAATATTTAGAAGGGAGTTTCATGAAATTTTTTCAGTACTTTTATATTCTTATGTGGATGTTTTTATCATATAAAAGTATACTAGAGTTAGTATTAATCTTTAATTTATATTTTTTTATGAAGTCTATCAATGATTAGCAATAAACTTCATATTCTCTTTTGCATCGTTTTAACATACTTTAAATCAATAATTTTGCCATATTGGTTTTAAATATTCACCTTCCTTGTATAACACTATTTTAATATTTTTCACTTTGCAATGCTATACTTTCTCAAATAAAGCTTAGTTTCATATCGGTCAAAAATAATATAAAAATTCAAATTATTTTTAAATTATATTTGTTTTTTGTCAATTCAAATATCAACATGAAAATTTAAATTGGGTGTATCCCATTTAAACAAACATAAAGAAATAATCGGGATGTAAGAGTTTAAAGAAAAAATGAGCACAAACTGTCAAAAATAATTAATCATGTGGTATTAAATCACGTGCATTGCACGTGTGTAAAAAACTAGTTATCTAAAAAGCGGCAGTCTTAAGTTGGAGTAATCGAAAGATCCAATTGCTATTTTTGATGGGCAATTTTGCAAATACCAATGTTTGAGAGGCATTTTTGAAAATATTAAAGATTGAGAGGTATATATACAAAAAAAACCCTAGAATAAATTGTACACTGATCTAAGCGAACTTGCAAGAATCATAATTGGATAAATTCCCTATCGTTTATTTTGGGCAGAAAGCCTCAAATCCAGGCCAAATGACTTGAAGAAATTGAAATTGATATATATTTTAAACTGATCTTAAGGGAGAAAGAGAGGGATAGATGATCAGGGTAATCTAACCTCAGAATTAGTGAATGCAATCACCAAATCAATTTACTTAAAGTGACCATAATCATTGCATGATGTGTTTTGTGCCTACTGTGCTACACTAAGATACAACAATATTATGTACTACCCTTTCGTGCTTAAGACCATCTCCAACCCATTGCACCAAAATGGTGCAAATTTTACATCAAAATGGTGCAAAAGTCACATCAAATAGTAATACATCTCCAACCTATTGCACCATTTTTTGCACCAAAAAAAATATTCTCAGAATATTATCAGTTTATTTCCTTTTATCTATTTTTATATTAATTAAGAGGTAAAAATAAATATTTAATTTTTTTTTAAAATGAACAGTAATAGGGCGGATGAACAGTGTAACGCCATATTTAGTGCAGCAATATTCAACTGCACTAAAATGGCGTAGAAAATGGGGCTGTGTTGGAGAATGAACAGTGCAACAAAAAGCACTGTTTGCACCATTTTGGTGCTGGGTTGGAGATGCCCTAAGCTAAAAGATTATCCACATATCAAGAAAGCTATAAAAAGTAATACCCAATCTTTGAATATACACTGCAGACGGTCAACAATAATCATAGATGATCGATCATTAACTATACTTTGTTTTTGTTAATTATCATCGAACACCTTTCGTATTTTTCATGCAAGTTCTTCTAAGATGGAGCTTATTCAACGCCGGCCATGCAGAAAAGATTAACAAAAGAAGCAAAAAAGCTATCACCCGCACTTCGTTCAATCATCAACACCATCTTCATTGATAGCTTCATGCATCATGATGCCACTAGGGTCTCATTGCCCTTCATCATTACCCCCCTCTTCAAAGAAGAGAGATGATTGGAAAAAAGAAAAATGCAAGTTTAATTGAGAGCTCATGAATATGTACAAAGCCTAAGATAGTAACAAATTTTTGCAAGAGAGCTCCATCATTGTCATGGATTCTGTATCCAACTCTTGGATTCTTAGCGACATGATTTATGGAGTTGAGATCTAAGAGAGTATATACCCACCCATCATGCGTGAGCAATCACTGAGCCTTATATAGGCCAATTTGAAGATTGCGGGTAGGGGTTTAATTAGCATCTATCGTCTTTTTGGATTCGGTCGGGGTTGATTTTGAGTGAGTCACACTTTGCCAAGAAACTTCACCAAGTGAAGGCATTAATTGTCTCTGCACCCAAAAAATATGTATGAGACTTACTATGTGACAAGAATATTTTTCTATTAATTCCTTTACTTCTGAATAAAATTCCGACAAAATAGATAAAAATTACATGCGCCGTCTTTACCTCATTATTAGTTACATGAGATTTGGATTCAGAAAGAAATAGTAACAAAAAGAAGCTAGCTATAGCAAAAAATTTCAAGAGATTTATCATAGAGTATAAGTTTTGTTTTTTCTCAGGGTGGAGATTTAATTATAAGTATTAAATATGAAACTCTTCATGAGGAAGTAGTTAGGAAGAATTAAAAGTGAAATTTTTGAACAAGGTTTGGATGGCTCCACACATTGACTAACATGTAGCTCTTCATTCTTCTAAAAAGCTGAATTTTATGAACTTTGTCTACCAAGTTGCTGTTCAATTCTTTTCTACTTGAATAATATATTGTTTACTCAAGAAGTTTCCTAAGAATATATATATGGAACGTAACATGTTGCATTCTTCAAAGAAGTTTAAAAAAAAAAAAATTCTCTGTTCTTCTAAAATCAAGAAAGATTTCCAAAATCAATATAGTTTCTAATATGGTCATGTTGTCCAGCTGCAAACATGCATGGTTATGTGGTCCAATTAGAAGCATTCACAATTATCTTATTATAGTTTAGTATGTGGTCCATTAATTAAGCACATTCACATTGTTTCAAATTAAGGATATGTGGTCCAATTAAGCACACTAACCTAAATCGGTACTTATGTAACACCACAAAAGAAACATACAAGCATCAT